AACCCGTGTCCCCTGCATCGGCAGGCGGACTCTCAACCACTGCGCCACCAGGGAAGCCCCCTCTGTTTCTTCATTTTGCTGGACTCTGTGTTGATTTCTGTGCAGAAGAGGAAACAACTGCCTCTCCCAGTCCTGAAGGCAGGGCCTCATGTAGGAGATGAGCCTTTTTGCTCAGCTCTCCCCAGCTCTTGGTCGGCTCTCAAACCGCTCTGCTTGTCCAGCAGCCTGATGTATTTGAGTGGCTCCCAGCAGCTGAGGGTGTGCCAAGACCTGTCAGTGCCCCAAAGGGTAGGGTCTCAGAACCCAGATTCAGACTGACTGGACACTTTCCTCTAAAGTTCACAAAACATACAGGGGTGTGAGCAACTACAAGCCTGAGTCCCACTGGCCACCAGAGTCAGGGACCTGCAGTGACCCCCGAGTGGCAGTCACAGAGAAGTGTATAAACTCTCTTCCGGGGGCCCAACTCGGGGAAAGCGGGAGACGGCAGGCACTCACAGCCTCCAACCTATGAGAGCAGCTCTGCACGCCCAACCTAAGCCTGTGCCCCAGGCTGAAGCTCCAGGACAAGCAGGGTGGCCTCCATCACATGACAGCATGGAGTGTGCCAGCCTGTCCCAACCTGGCCCTCTGCTCACCACAGTCCCGTGGGACCCAGGAATACAAGCCCCTCTGGCCACCAGAGCCAGGCGTTCAAGGGGTGAACCATGGGTGTCAGATGCATGTAAAGCATCCCTCCAAGAAACTTGGGCTCTGGAGGGCCTGCCCTCTGACATCTCTGGAAAGGATTCGGGGGCCCCTAGATGCAGGCTTAATTACAAACCTACCCCTCAGGCCACAGCCATGGTGATCAGCTAATAAGTCTCCACCAGAAAGACCGAGCTCCTGGTCTATAGTCTCTTACTTTGCCCTGGGGGGTGAAGAACCTGCTGTATAAAATAAATAAAATTAAAAAAAAAAAAAAAAAAGGGGGAATCCTTCTGATGTTTCCCTATTAAGTAGAATGTCTGCTTACATTTAAGAAAATAGATATTGGTTTAAGGAAGTTCCCAGAGGAAACTAGAACAGAAAGAACACAGGAACCGCCGGAAGCTGGAAGGAGCACAGGAGAGTGTATGACCCCAGAGCCTCACCACGCCCAGACTTCAGACTTCCAGCCTCTAGAGCTGTGAGACACTTACTTTCTGCTGTTTTAAACCACCTCGTTGTGGTAATTTGTTATGGAAGCCCTAGGAAACTAACACAAAATCCAATCCCGGGCTTCCCTGGTGGCGCAGTGGTTGAGAGTCCGCCTGCCGATGCAGGGGAGGTGGGTTCGTGCCCCGGTCCGGGAAGATCCCACATGCCGCGGAGCGGCTGGGCCCGTGAGCCATGGCTGCTGAGCCCGCGCGTCCGGAGCCTGTGCTCCGCAACGGGAGAGGCCACAGCAGTGAGAGGCCCGCGTACCGAAAAAAACAAACAAAAAACAAAAAATCCAATCCCATTTCCTCCTGAAACCTACTGCTGCTCCTGAGAAGTCTGCTATCTCTGTCACAGAACATTCTCTTTTCTCAACTGGAAATGGGCCATGTGTTCCATGATTCGGTCCCTTGGGTCTGTATTCTATCCAGTTTATATCTCATCTCTCAACCATTCATATCTAATATTTCCTCTGCCCCATCACTTGATCCTTCCATTTTACAACAGTGGACAGACACACCCTGCAGCTCCGGACTGTGACCCGTGAGTCAATTATCAATTGTGAGTCAATTATCAATTATCCCCACTCTCTGCCGGCTTTATATTCCGCCACAGGGAGCACTAGAGGGGACGGGAGACGGCAGGGAGTTGGGGGGATGGATTTCTCCCCCGCCGGGTGCTCTTCAACAGCCCGCCAGCTTGTCCCTCCTTAGGAAGACATCCATCACTGGGAAGGCACAGCTGGCAGTTCCGGAACCGGGCTGGCGCCTGCCCTGACACTAAGGTCCAGCTTACGAGCCCCTCCTCACCTGCAGGTCTGATGACCCCAACCCTTCTCTCTATTCCCCCTGCCTCAGACCCTTTCAGCTTTTGTATTTCTCTAACTTGCATTAAAACAATTCTCCACTGAAGCATCTCTGTGACCGCACACTGAAAGATGGACCAGAGGCGACTCCTCCCGCCATGTCATCCCCTTTATCTCCGTGATGCGTTCTGCACAAGCCCCATGCAGCTCTTCCAGTGTGATTCTCTCCTCAGGTCTAACTAAGCTTTAGAGCCCAGTTATCAAGTTACTATTCCAATTACCATATTTACATTTCTAGAAGTTCTTTCAATATTTGTTTCCTTTGAATCTGCCTGTACTTTCCTCAAGGTTATTTCTTCCTGATGTTTCCAATTTCTTGTTTTTTACACCTGATAATGCTAAATATTTTTCTATTTTGTCTGCTGCACCTACCAACCACTGCTCACAGCGGAGCCTCCTCATGTCTATTCCTCTTCAGCACGGGTTTATCCATGGTCATCCTTCCCGGGGCAGAGATTCCCTAGACGGGCCACTCCACACCCACAATTTGATCTGACAGTCTCTTTCACTAACTTACTGCTGTTTTTAATCCCCCTAAAAGCAGCTTCTGATAATTTTCCTTACTTGGTTAAGATTTCAAAAATGTTCTTAAAAAGGGTATTTACACAATATCAGACAAAGTATTATATTGAATAACAAACAGAATCTCCACGTAATTGAGGCAAGAAGAATTTTTAGGTTTCGCATCAACCACACTGAGAACAAGGAAGTCTCAATGTCCCCTTCCATATGGGCTCATTTCACTTAGCATGAGTATCCGTCAGAATCCAGTCCTGTAACATCCTTTTTATACAAAGACAATCCTAATAGATAGCAGTATATTTATTTGGCCTTTTCCTTTTCTTTTTGCTTTTTAACAATTTTAGTGAGAAATATAAAAATGTACCTTTTTAACCACTTTTAAGTGTATGATTCAGTAGCATTAGGTACATTCAAAGTGTTGTACAACCATTACCGTTATCTACCTCCCAAACAGAACAAAACGAAACCAAACTCGCAGATACAGAGAACACAAAGAAGGGGGGCCGGGGTGGGCGAAATGGGTGACGGTGTCAAGAGGTGAGAACTACCAGTGACAAAACAAGTCAGTCCCGGGGATGTGATGTACACTGTGGTGACCACAGTCCGTAACCCTGTACTGTGTATGTGAAAGCTACTCTCATTACAAGAAATCAAATTCTTAACTTATTGTGGTGATCATTTTGCAATGTACATAAATGTCGAATTGTGTTTACTCCTGGAAATAAGGGAATGGTGTATGCCAATCATACTTCAACTGAGAAAAAGGTCAAATGACAATGGTACCTAATAAGAACTCCATTGAAAATTACAGAACTCTATTGAAAAATATAAAGAAATAAAAGCATAGTTACTACTTTGAGGAATTTAAATCTAGCACTGGAAATAAATTATGCAAAATCTCAACGTATGATATACCACCAAATGTGGCACAGGCTACATTAGTAGATTAAACGCACTAAGCGTTCTAGAATGAAGAAATGATCAAGGTCAGAATAGGGTTAGCCTATTAAGAATCAGAAGGCAAGGCTTCCCTGGTGGCGCAGTGGTTAAGAATCCACCTGCTAATGCAGGGGACACAGGTTCGAGCCCTGGTCTGGGAAGATCCCACATGCCGCAGAGCAACTAAGCCCGTGCACCACAACTACTGATCCTGCACTCTAGAGCCCACAAGCCACAACTACTGAGCCCACGTGCCACAACTACTGAAGCCCGCGCACCTAGACCCCGTGTTCCTCAACAAGAGAAGCCACCAAAATGAGAAGCCCAGGCACCGCAACAAAGAGTAGCCCCTGTTCGCCTCAACTAGAGAAAGCCCGCGCGCAGCAATGAAGACACAACGTAGTCAAAAATAAATTAATTAATTAATTTTTTTATAAAAAGAAAGAATCAGAAGGCAATACCCTAGGAATGAGAGGGGAAATCACATGATAAGGCCAGAATCCTTTAAATTTTACAGCCAAAATGTGTTTAAAATTTGCATGTTAACACTGCATTAAAAAGCCAAATGTGGGACGTTCCCAGTGGTCCAGTGGTTAGGACTTGGCACTTCCACTGCCAGGGCCCAGGTTTTATCCCAGGTCAGCGAACTAAGATCCTACAAGCCATGCAGTGTGGCTGGGGGAAAGAAAAAAAAAAAAAAGCCAAATCCGTGTTATGCTATTTTATTTAAACTTTTAGAAAGTTCAATAGGACTTCCCTGGTGGTGCAGTGGTTAAGAACCTGCCTGCCAATGCAGGGGACACAGGTGCAAGCCCTGGACCAGGAAGATCCCACATGCCTTGGAGCAACTAAGCCCATGTGCCAATTTCTGAACCCACATGCCACAACTACTGAAGCCCACGCACCCAGAGACTGTGCTCCGCAACAAGAGAAGCCACCGCAATGAGAAGCCCACGCACCGCAACGAAGAGTAGCCCCCGCTCGCCACAACTAGAGAAATCCCGCGCACAGCAACGAAGACCCAATGTAGCCAAACATAAATAAATAAATAAATTTTTAAAATAAGTAAAAAGTTAAAAGTTCAATACATTCACTTAAAATACTGGTCTGTATTTAACAAAGCCAAAATGCTCTGCTATCCAGTGATTTATGAAGCTCAGCTTATAAACACCACTGCATCTAACATGCGTGCTTTAAGTACAAAGGTTAGAAACCCCGCACGCCCGCGCACACCGGGGCAGAGCGAGGCTTTTCTTAAGTACATCTCCTCTGTGTGTAAGGTTACTTCTGCGAGAGTCACCTTTTTTCAAGTGCACACGGGGCCGCGGCGGAGCCGAGAGTGAAGGCAGGGACGGAAGGACCCCAGGACTGCAAGGGCAAGGGCACTGCCGGGCCGGCCCGGGCCCCCAGCCAGCCAGACAGCAGGGCTCCCGGGACACGCCCACCCCACCCCCAGACAGCCCTGCTGCCGGAGCCCCGGGCAGAGCCCTCCTACCTTCCACGGCCTTGACCCTTTCCTCCAGCTCCCGTTTCCTTTCCTCCTTCAGCAGCTGCTCCTGCTCCTTCTTCTGCACCGCCAGGAGGATCTGGCGCTCCTCCTCCTCCGCCCTGCGCTTCTGTTTCTCTATCCTGCCGAGCACAGGGGTCTCCTGCGAGGGGCCAAGAAGTTCAGTCAACACACAATAAAGCAAGACCACGCCTCTGAGTAAAGATTCCACGTTCTCTATTCGGCACATAGTGCCAGACAGCTGGGTGACTTACACCCCAGCCACAAGCTCATCTTCTCATCTGTACAGTCAATGAACAGATGCAGACACACACTCACATTAAGACACACAGTGGGGATCAGAACAGGTGAAGGCTTGGCCCTGATGACGGATCTGATTTATAGTCTTTGGGAGATAATCTGGAGAGCAGACCAGAGCAGAGAGGAGACATCACTCTTAGATTTAACCTTTGATAAAAATGGTATCTTTAAAAGCACCCTCGGGCTTCCCTGGTGGCGCAGTGGTTGAGAGTCCGCCTGCCGATGCAGGGGACACGGGTTCGTGCCCCGGTCCGGGAGGATCCCACATGCTGCGGAGCGGCTGGGCCCATGAGCCATGGCCGCTGAGCCTGCGTGTCCGGAGCCTGTGCTCCGCAACGGGAGAGGCCACCACAGTGAGAGGCCCGCGTACCGAAGGAAAAAAAAAAAAGCACCTTCGTCTAAATAACTAAGAGAAGGATGAGCTAGCACAATTTCAATAATGTGCACGCCTTCGAAACTCCCAACTTTTGCAATTTTCTTTACTAATCAAACAGTAAATAAAATGGAGGGTTCGGTGCGAAGGGCCACCGTTTTGCCTTAAGATACAGAAAAGATATGAAGGTGACAGCACAGAAACGCACTGCTTCCCTCAGACTTGCGAGCTTTCCCCTTGTTTTTCAACCCAAACAGCATTAATACATAATGATTTCAGGTGGTTAGGGCGAATGCGATTGCCTAAGAAATTTAAGGAAAGAAAAGGAAAACAGGACCGTTACCATCATAATTCCTGAAAGTTTTACTCTGGAAATTTCCAACATAGCTAGTACTGAGCCATTCTGTAGCCCAGAACACTCAAACTAGGACTGAAATCGTTATTTTCAATTTCTTCCCTTGACTTCTGTGCTGATGTGTAAGGTAGAACTTTTTCTTTTTTAAAATTGTTATTGAAGAGGTAATAATTGTTGCCTGCAACAGAGAACACCTGTAAGTTGCACAGACACAGAAAAATGAATCAGGGGTCTACGAAGGGAAAATGCCAGTTCCCCTTACAGAAAAGATGCTGATTATCCCGCGTTAGGCAAAACTAAATCAGGAAGATGACTTTTTCTTAACAGATCTTTTCAGTAGGAAGAAGACCTAATAAGAATCTTCTATGCTAGATATCTGTATTCTGTGGAAATTACACAAGTGGTCTTGACGTGGGGGTAAAAACATGACAGCCGACGGCCATCTATACAAAGTCATAATTAAACACTGAAACCACTCTCATTGAAATTTTCTACTATTTTTTTTTATGGTCCTTAAAACTTGTTTCGATTGTCATTTGATTCATAATTAGGAAAGCAGTCTTCCCTAGATAGTAGACCTTTTGAAAGTCAAAGGTTTTACTGTTCAAATTCTGAGCTTGACTTTAAAATTTAACGGTGGCTGCTTGACAATGTAAAAATATGAACTAAGAGAGATGAAAATGAAAATAATGTTAACCATTATTACTGCACACATGACACTGTACTCAGCCGCCCAAATAGAATTAAACAAAGTTCCCTAAAATCTTTCTCCTATAACCAGAGTGGGCAGTGTACACAAGCTAGATGTCCTTTTGTGACACTGGGCTGCCACTGGCATCGCACACAGACAAGCCTCCTAAGGCTGGGGAAGCACCTTCCGTCGCTCTGCCCCCAGCTCCACAGGTCCCTAATTATTCCAACTTTTGGGCAACATCTTTATCTAGTTGAGAAGTTACAGTGGAGCTACTGTTAACAAAGCAAAGCAAACCAGAAGGACGCGCCTTTACTCTTTTCAGCTGTACAGTGACTCCAAGCAGACGCCCCTAAGACGTCAACTGGTAGGGTGGCAGAAAGGCAGGGAATAGAGGAACACAAGCCTTGCCAAACAAATTATTTCATTCAAAGAAAAGTGCACTGCTTTCTACGCATCAGACCCAATGAAAAAGCAGAGAAAAACAAGCACATGTAATAACCACTAGTTACTTACTGCATACAATGATGACAGCAATGTGTGTGTCCTGCCCCTGCCTAACAAAGCACGACATGAGAAATGCTCTCCCTTCAGCCAGAACAGAGACATACTAGAGAGGATCTGCACCTTAGTGAGGACTGAGGACACGCAGCCCCAGGGCTGCTCACCAGAGTCACCTGGTCAACACACAAGAGAGGCACTCACGTGTGAAGACAATGGAAGGAGGGGAAAAGGGAAAAATAGGTAATTACGCACATCCTAAGAATATCTACAATTTTTTCAACAAATACAACGACGTACTATTCTTAATATGGAAAGATGTCTTACAAAGCAGTTAACAGTAGCCCCCACCGAGAAAATGAAACATGAATACAAAGTTCACAGAACTAGATAAAACACATCCATGATCATAAGGAAAAGCAAAACAACCTTTTCACTTACAAAACTGTACAAGATGAAAAACGTAACACGTCTGCAAAGACATGGTAACATGGACGCCCTCAATGAGCTGGGGACACAGATCTTCTGGAGGACAAGATGGACACACGTATCAGGAACCCTGAACAGAGTAAGTGCACTGCTGTGACTTCATCTTAAAAGTGAGACAGCGAGGCAAAATACTTCTGAGTACGTTAAAGTCAACATTATTTAAAACAGTGAAAAACTGTAAATATCCTTAATGTTTAAAAATAGGTAAAATTACATAATCACTATGCAATCATTAAAAATTGTTTTTTCTGAGGAATATTTAATGAAATATGAAAAGGCACCTTGATGTTAAATGAAAAACACAGGTCACAAGACAACAGTCAGTGTGATCCCAGGTTTGTAATAAACGCACAGAGAACGGCCTGAAGCAAACACATGAAACTGTAAGTAGGGAAACTGTTACCACGTCTCCTGCACTTTTTACGTGAGTTTTCTGTAAGAGCATGTAAATCCTTTCGGACACAGAACAGCCCCTTCCCAAATAAGCTGGGGAAACCACTGGGTATTACATATGCTCTACAACGACCCAATTTTTATTAACTTCTTACCCCCACTACCATGTGGTCCCTATTAAAAGTCTAAAATTCAAAGGTTAAAGTACCAAAAGGTTACTATCACGTACAGATTTTATGGTGAGGTATTAAAATTGATTTTAAATAGCTTAAGATATTTCGATAACAGTGCAGCAGGAATTTTTTAAATTAATTTTTTTATTGGAGTATAGTTGGTTTACAATGTTGTACTGGTTTCTACCGTACAGCAAAGTGAATCAGCCATACACATGTCCACTCTCTTCTAGACTCCATTCCCATATAGATCATTACAGAGCACCAAATAGAGTTCCCTGTGCTATACAGTAGGTTCTTATTAGTTATCTTTTATATATTGAAGCAGGAATTTTAAAACTTAGAAAATTATAAATGCCAAGGACTGCTGCTAAATCAGAGATTCTGCATCATTCAGAAATACATGTAAAGATACTGGAGTGAAATTCACAGGAAATGAACAACTTTAAGGTGCATAACCTTAAAGGGGCATTCAGTATATTCACAACGTGTGCGACCACCATCTGTGTTAAGTCACAGAACATTTCACCACCTGAAAGAAAGCTCCGCACCCAATAAGCGGTCACTCTGCATACCCCACTCCCCAGGCCCTGGAGACCACCAAGCTATTCTTTCTATGGATTTACTTATTTTGGACATTTCACATAAATGGGATCATACAATTTGTTGTCTAGTTAGTTCTTTTTTAAATACATTAATATTTATACTAAGCACATAAGATGTAATAATTGAATAACTTGAATTTACAGCATCTTAAAAAAGCAAACTGTTATAACAACAGCTAACAAACAATCCTGTGAAAAAATGGGCAGAGGATCTGAACAGACATTTTTCCAAGGAGGACATACAGCATAGATGGCCAATAGACACATGAAAAGATGCTCAACATCATTAATCATCAGAGAAATGCAAATTAAAACCTCACACCTGGTAGAATGGCCATGATGGCCATCATCAAAATGACAGGAGATGGTAAGTGTTGGTGAGGGTGTGGAGAAAAGGGAACACTTGTGCACAGTTGGTGGGAATGTAAATTGGTGCGGCCACTATGGAAAAGACTATGGAGGTTCCTCAAGAAATACAAAATAGACTCTAACATGTGACCCCGTAAAAAGATACACTCCTGCGTATCTTTCCAAAGAAAGTAAAAGCACTAATTTGAAAATGTATATGGACTTCTTTGTTCAATGCAGCATTATTCACAATAGCCAAGACAGGGACACAACCTAAGTGTCCATGGATGAAGAAGTGGTGGTGTATATACAGTGGAATATTACTCAGTCACAAAAAGAAGGAAATGCTGCCATTTGTGACAACATGGATGACTTGAGGGCATTATGTTAAGTGAAATAAGTCAGAGACAGACAAATACTGTATGACCTCTCCTGTATGTGGAATCTAAAAAAACTGAACTCACACCAAAAGGATTAAAGACCCAAATGTAAGACCAGACACTATAAAACTCTTAGAGGAAAACATAGGAAAAACATTCCCTGACATAAACCACAGCAAGATCTTTTCTAACCCACCTCCTAGAGTAATGGAAATAAAAACAAAAATAAACAAATGGGACTTAAAAGCTTTTGCACAGCAAAGTAAACCACAAACAAGACAAAAAGACAACCCTCAGAATGGGAGAAATATTTGCAAATGCAACAACGGACAAAGGATTAATCTCCAAAATATACAAACAGCTCATGGAGCTCAATATCAAAGAAACAAACAATCCAATTAAAAAATGGGCGGAAGACCTAAATAGACATGTCTCCAGGGATGACAGATGGCCAAAAGGCACATGAAAAGATGCACAACATCACTAATTATTAGAGAAATGTAAATCAAAACTACAATGAGGTATCTCCTCACTCTGGGTCAGAATTGCCATTATCAAAATATCTAGAAACAGTAAATGCCAGAAAGGGTGTGGTGAAAAGGGAACCCTCCTGCACTGTTGGTGGGAATGTAAGTTGATAACAACCACTATGGAAAACAGTATGGAGGTTCCTTAAAAAACTAAAAATGGAACTACTATATAACCCAGCAATCCCACTACTGGACATATACCCTGAGAAAACCATAATTCAAAAACAGTCATAGGGCTTCCCTGGTGGCGCAGTGGTTGAGAGTTCGCCTGCCAATGCAGGGGACACGGGTTTGTGCCCCGGTCTGGGAAGATCCCATGTGCCGCGGAGCAGCTGGGCCCGTGAGCCATGGCCGCTGAGCCTGTGCGTCCGGAGCCTGTGCTCCACAACGGGAGAGGCCACAACAGTGAGAGGCCCGCGTACTGCAAAACAAAAACAAGAACAAACAAACAAAAAAAACCAGTCATGTACCACAATGTTCATTACAGCTCTACTTACAACAGCCAGGACATGGAAGCAACCTAAATGTCCATCGACAGATGAATGGATAAAGAAGATGTGGTACATATATAAAATGGAATATTACTCAGCCATAAAAAGAAACAAAATCAAGTTATTTGTAGTGAGGTGAATGGACCTAGAGTCTGTCATACAGAGTGAAGTCAAATCAGAAAGAGAAAAACAAATACCGTACGCTAACACATATATATGGAATCTAAAAAAAAAAAGGTACTGATGAACCTAGTTGCAGGGCAGGAATAAAGAGGTAGACACAGAGAATGGACGTGAGGACATGGGGTGGGAGGGGGAAGCTGGGGCGAAGTGAGAGTAGCATCGACACATATGCACTACCAAATGGAAAACAGTTAGCTAGTAGGAAGCAGCAGCATAGCACAGGGAGATCAGCTTGGTGCTTTGCAATGACCTAGAGAGGTGAGTTAGGGAGGGTGGGAGGGAGGCTCCAGAGGGAGGGGATATGGGGACATATGTATGCATATGGCTGATTCGCTTTGGTGTACAACAGAAACTAACACAGTATTGTGAAGCAATTATACTCCAATAAAGATCTATTTAAAAAAACAAATGTGGTCAAAAGGTACAAACTTCCAGTTATCAATAGGTGACCGTAGTTAATAATACTGTATTGTGTATGCAAAAGCTAATGAGAGAGTAGATTTTAAAGGTTCTCATCATAAGATCAAATCTGTAACTGTGTTAGGTGACACATGTTAACTAGACCTATTGGTGATCATTTTGCAGTGTGTACAAATATCAGATCATTACGTTGTACACCTAAAACTAATGTTATAAGTCAATTACATCTTAAAAAAAAAAAAAAAAAAAGTCTGTGAGTTGGAGAACTCGACAAAAACAAAACTCAAAGCCCCCGGAGCGCCCAGGAGCAAGAAGGAAGGTCCAGAACCTGTGCTGCAACGTCCTGGCCACCCCCGCCCGCAGTGGCCCTTCTCCGGGGTTTCAATCCCTGCCTGGTCCCCAGATGCTTTCTCCAGGCTGCCGCCACCTGGGTTGCCTGCTGGCATAAAAACACCTCTGCTTAGTGAGACACCTCTTTGCCTCACAGCTTCTCATGGCCCTTTCTCCTTCTTCATAACATGCTATAATTTCAGCAGTTCCCATCCAATGTGAATTCTGAACAATTATCATTTTATACAAATTGCATCACACACATATGGGAAAAAATATGTACGTGGTGCACCAAGAGTCTGTTTTAAATTTCCGCACTCCTTTTCAGCAGTGGATGGGACTTATGACCTGAAGACACCTGTGGCAGCTCTACAGTTTAAACTCCAGTAGTTTAAAGAACAAGTACATACAGTCGAGTCAACAAAAACCAAACAAAAAACTAGCAGTTAAAAAAAATCTTACACTGTTTTGCATTGCAACTTTTTTTCTTTAGAAGGGGTCAGCTGCAGACGGGGCAGGGCTGTGTTTAATGCTGTGCAGAGAAGAGGCCTGTGGGACCAGGACAGGGTTTCAATGAGAAGCCAATTAGAAACAGCACTTTGAAATCCTCTCAACAATTACAAATAGAATCTGGCTGAAGCTGAGCCCAGGACTCCCCGTCCATGCCCCCCACCCATGCCCAGCACACATGGGAACCGAGCTCCCTGTCAATGGCATGTCCAGAGTCTCCTGACAGAAACAGTCCAGGAGGTCAGGGAGACAGTGTCCCTTCACTGCTATTTCCCCAGGAGTCATAATTAAAAGATTTTCTGAGGCACTAAGATTGGACTCCTGGGTGACCAGAAACCCTGCCTATAAGCCATTAAAGACCTGAAGATTTTCTGCTGTTTAAACAAAAGCACAAAACTCATGCCACACTGAAGGCTTTCTTTCTCCAGAATGTTCAGCACTGTAACTGACATCAAGAATCTCTTCAATACCATGGTTACTTGTATCTAAGACCAAAGAGCAGAATAAACAAACAAACAATGCTGCAAATAACCTAAAACTTTAGTGTTTGAAGCTAGGCTTTTGCTGGCAGCAGTGAAGAACCTGCCTATCTGTATTCAGATTACTCTGCAACCAGATGTAAACTAGGGCATTTAGGACTCAGCCCAGGGCAGTGAGCAGAAAATGGGAAGACTTTCAAGGAGGTGGTTAACTGTCCAGATACAAAGGCAGCGAGAGCCCGTCAAGGGGAATGAGGCAGAAAACCAGCTGAGAACTTCGGCTGGACAGCCTGACTGAGGCCACCCTCCAACCAGGGCCTCGAGGGAAGAAGGGACTGGGGAGACCTGCAAATCAGGCAGAACAGGGCTGCCTCAGTTTACCTCCTGGTACAGACATACTTATGAGCTGAAGAAAAAAGACACAGAGGATAAGTCCAAATATACTGGAAATACAGTGATTTATTAATGAGCTTCTCCCCTTTCGGGGATCAAGGTAGAATGTACTCGGTTAATGGCCAAGTCCCTGAACACACAATCTTGCAGTCACATCGACGACCGCGAGGCCGCAGAGGGTCCACACTGTCACAAGCCAGCCAGACAGGGCCTCCAGGGGAAACGTGCTCTGACCACTAACTGCTTGAACAGCCAATGGGGTGGATGCTAAAAGGAGACAAGGCATTAAAAAGTGGAGCGAGTCTGGGAACTGGGCAGCAGGGGAGGCGGGGGGTGTCCCCTCAGTCCTGCCCGCGCCCCCCTCCCCCATCCAACCCCTGTCATCAAACATCCCCCCCCTGCAGTCCAGGTCCCTCGGGCCTCATTCCGCCCCCATCTGCCCACTTTTACATTTCAGTAAATACAAACAGCAGTTTCGTCCCTTCCTACAACTGTGATGCTGAACAATGTCACAGAAGTTCCCAAACAGAGGTGGCTCCCGGGGACTGCTCCCCCCGAAGCATCTCTTCACCAAACACTGTCTCAACTCTTACCCTGCCCCTCCCAGTTCGCGTCCCCACCCCGGGACACGCGAGCCCCCCTACTGCACAGGGAGCACGGAAAGCCCGTGGACGTCCTGCTCCAACTAAGGAAACGGGGCCTGAAATGCCGAGAGCTCTCCTCAATGCTGCTTCCTCTGCACTTTGTCACTATCCCTTTGTTTTCTTTCATGGCCAGACTTCTCAAGAGGTCAGATACCACTCTGACCAATAACTCCTCTTTTACTCACTCGCAACCTGACCTTCATTCCTATCATCCTCTAGTGAAACGCTCCCCGCAGAGGCCGTCCTCCCCTCTAGGCCCACGCTCCCAGAGCAGGGACCCTACAGCTACTTGCTCACCTTGCAGTTGTTCCTGATGGGGTCTGACCCCAGATGTATCTTCCTGAAACAAAGATCGAACGACATAGCCGCCGACCACTGCCTCCCCTGGACAAACAAGCAGGGGACGGCCAGGGGACTCCCAAGTCTGACTGTTCCAGCCAAACCGCCACTCTGAGTCACAACATATCTTACACGCCAGCCACGACCCAGCACACACGCTCTCCGACTGCATCGCACACGACCCTGCCTCTGTACTTCTGCTTGCCTTGACCCTCCGCCCGCACTGCCACCGTCAAAACCTCAGCCACCCTGCAGGGCTCAGGCGACACAGTTCTGCTGCTCCAGTTCCTTCCATCTTTGCCTCTTGCGTTCCTATTACACGTGTGTCTGTTACGGAACACATCATTCTCCTCGGTATTACAGTAAATAACGATGTGAGTATCATCCCCGGAGATTAGGGGAGCCCAACAGTCAACTTACGTCTTATTTTTACAACTCCTTCTCTTTCTAGAAATGCATCTTATGTAAAATAATACTCAGTAAAGGCTTGAGGTTTTAAAAATGAAATCAAGGTAAATAAAGAACTTGGGATAGAAGGAGTACACGAAATAAAACGGGACAATCTTCTCTGAACATGTAAACCCTTCTCTCTGCTCGCTCTCACACACTCACCTATTGCTCAATGGACTTGACGGACAGGTGGTCAGACCACCGCCCAGGCTGCAATCCTGTCCATGTCCTCTGTGGACGCTTTCCCTACAGTTACAAGTGAGGAAGAGCGAGGACAAGATGGGTGAGGGTATCCTCAGCTGCTGCTGTTGCTGCCACTGCCACCAGTCGAGAGAGGCCTGGAAGGGCCAGGTGAGGCTCTACCTAAACGAGGGCCCGTGGCACCCCAGGCCAGTCAGCAAAAATGACAACTCAGCTCTACAAGGCCCCACGCAGCTTATTCACTTAGAAACGTTCAAAAAAGCTCGGATATACCATGTGTCAAACTCCCGGAATGGTGTAAACACTTTTAACAAGTTTTCTCTCATATTACCAAGGAAAAGCCAGTTTCATCACCTCGGGCTGCCGGGAGCGGCTCTCAAGGTGGATTCCGAGCAGCAGGAGGGCAGCTCTCCTCTAGAGGTGGTTCTGTAGCCGGTGAGGCTGGAACAGGTAGGAGGACGAGAGACGACAGGCTCAGCCACGAGGGATCACAGAGCTTCCTGGGGGTGTTAGACCCCCAGATGATGTCAGAGGCTTGGCAGCGGCCGTTACAGGGAACTTCAAAGGCCAACATCAGTTTTGGAATTTCTGTGGACTGAGCCCCAAAGCCTCACCATCATAACCTCGTATTAAGAAACGGTAAGCAAGGGCTGTGCAGGTGAGGTGAGTATGCTCTGCGGCGTCACATCAGCATCACATACGTGTGGTCTGGCACCACTTAACTGAAAAACTTGAGACCTGTGGCATCAACGAGGTAAAGCAACAAAGGATGGAAAAAGCTCAGTGGCGCTAATGCCACTAAGTGGTGGTTTATGCAACCCAAACGAACCACAGAACGGCAGGAGATCTGCTGAGATGGGGGATCTAGAAAGTTTTTCCATTATGAGAATGACCAGCTTCAGTAGAGATAGAACCCCAACTGTCAAAGGGGGGAATGACCCCCTTTACCCCAAAAGCCACTGCAGCAGCTCCTCAAATGTGCCTATGAGCGACTCCTTCAGAAGTTCAGGCCCAGGGGAAGAGCCCTCGGGCCACGAGCTCTCTCAGAGGACCAACAGCAAAGCGGCCAAGGGGCCACCTGCACCTCTGCCGAGTGAGGCGGGTGCTGGGGCCAGACAGCGCGGCGGTTTCCCTGTCCTCACAACCATCTTCTATGTGACTTATCAACTTATCTGTTAAAAACCCTGATGTGTATAACACACATGACTATCACTGTCTGTAACCTTAGCTAAAATGCTTTCACTAGTCTACACCCCCTTGACTTTAATCTTGCCACAAAAGCTTAACTTTCATGTGCTCAAAGCGGCCTTACCTTCTGGTTCTTTCATTATTTCAAAGTTTACAGGACTATCATACCTCCATGAGTTATCCCATCAGCTTTGCCTCTCTGTAGACTTGCAATTATTTTGGTAAGAAACGTGGATTTAGTTTTCTATCAAAATTCCTTGCCAGTTACAAGCCGCCAGAAACAATGGAGGGACCAAGTGCCAATCCATCGCTAAGTACTAGGCCAGGTACTGGACAATGGTCCTTCCCACAGAAACTGGGAAGTTACAGCACTGCATATTTTACTAATAAGAAAATGGAAATTCAGAGCTATCAGGAAGCTCATCCAAACGGGCAGCTAGAAGAGGGCGGCGCTACACCTACGAGGGGGGGTCCTAGAGGAAAGCTCACGACGCGCAGCCCCCCAGACCCTGCGGCTCTGCGCTTGTCATGCTGCACTGTAATCTGTAATGGTGTCTATTCTGTTTTACTGGCATGTGATTTCCATTTCACATTCAAATCATAGGTGTGCTTATTACTAGAACAGACCCCTTTCGGCCAGTATAACTTGGATGGGTACTGGTAGGTACACACAGTCACTGTCAAAGGAAGAATCTACACAGTGTGTGTGTTTTAACTTAATGTATAAAAATGTACTGCCATTCACTAGTCATATGATGCAGGCCCACTGAGGGGGTTCCCGGATATTCCCTCCTAATAATCACCCTCTTATACCTTTATCTGCCCTCCCAGTTTTGTTTTTATAATCGCAAGTGAGACGTTAATGATACTTACAATCCAAATACCGAAACCGTAAGATTGTAATGAATTTTTTTCCTTTCATTGTTTACTATTTTATCCTAATTTGACAGCCAACGTTTCAGAAGCAACTCATCTTTCATGTTTTTGTTTAATAAAAACTTTTTTTTATAGAAAATTTTATGCCCTTATTTTGTTTCATAATATTTAATTGTGTAAATTCAGTAACAAGAACAACGGACACACACAGGTCTGTGAAAACATCAGCAGGATGCCCAGCTCGCAGGTTGTCACTTCCCGTGGGTGGCCTCTCGAATGAAGACGCCCCCCGCCCCCGCCCGAGGGTGCTCCTGATGTCTGGCCTCTGTGCCAGGACAAAGCAGTGCTAAAATGGGTCACCCCACTGCCCCCACCTGCAATATCTACATTCACTGGGTATTCTCGAGGAGAGCTCTGTTACGCTGGGACTTGGCTAAGGCGACAACAAACCTCAATTTATCTTGGTGATGACTGACATCTAAACTTTCCTTCAAGAAACAGAGAGGTCTGGCATCCTTACTCGAGATGAGAAGAGATAAATGCCCTCACAGCTTTGTACCTTCTCCTCTCTCATCAGTTCTGCACAGGCACAGTCAGATTCACAGCAGCACCTGTTCTGCTGCGGCGGCCAGTAACTGTTCACCTTTAGCAGGCATCGCAATGAATCACAGAGCAACAGAACTACCTCCAGCCATCCTGCCAGGCTGGGACGAGAGCAGGGCGGGATCCAGCGTCCAGCGTGTGGCCCAGGTGAGGCCCACGCAGGACGTCGGGAGCCAGCACTGCTCTGAGCGGTAAGCAACAGGCTTCGTCGAGTGCAATTCTATTCCCCCAGACGAAACGCTCTAAAATTCTGCCTCTTACTCTTCTCTTACGTCACACACCCAAGACTTCCAAGGCAGTATTCCCGTACCACACATGCCACTTAACCCCGATGGGTTATGAGTTGTTATTCTTTTGATGAGGAAACGGTCTTTATTTGTTAGTGCACTTTTAAAGGCGTGACATTTATATTACTGAATGAAGAGCGTATTTAAATTCATCAGGAATGGGGCACTAAGATGACTGTATCTCAATGGACACAGTGGCCAAGCCACTTCTTCCTTTATTTTTGAACTGTTCGGAAATGATCTTTTCGTAAAGGTTTAGAAAATTCTGCCTGTGAATAAATCTAAATGATTCTGGAGCTTTTGATTGGATGCTTTTGTGAAAGCCCTTCTTCCCTAATTACTGGTCTGCTAAGCTTTCTGGTTGCATAATTTAGATTCTGGGGGGTTTTTTTTGGTGGGGGGGAAAATCAACACCCCATTTCACTAAGGCTTGCAAATTTACAGCACTGTATAGCTTTCAAAATATGAAATCTATTATTTCTTTTTTCAGCTTCTAATTTCATGGTTCTTGAAATTTGTATTTAAGGTTTACCTTATTTTAATTTTTTCTTCTCTTGCAAAGAATCAACTCCTAAAATTTTCTGTATGAAAACCATCCATTTTATGCTTGTAAAAGTTTTTTCCCTTAGTTACATTATTCTAAAGTCTGAGGTTGAATACTGCAGTTAAAAAGACAGAAATTATAAAAGAAAGTTTAAGCAGATTAGGTAAATGCCTTACAGATGATTTAAGGTGCTGTCATTAATCATATCAATAAAGTCATATACAAGGTTATGTAAAGTTATAAAACCAGCTCTATTTAATAGCTACTTTAAGAAAACTAGATTACATATTTCAAGTCCTGGAAAAGTGGTCACAGTGCACTGTGGAGGACAAGATCCAAGTGTAATTATAGTCAATGGGATTAAGCACGTCGATGGGAGATGCTCACCCATGAAAAATGCAATTCTGTGACTTTCTACAGTTCACCCCAAAGCACCAACCTGCTCAATGGTTACAAATATCATTGGAGTCACGACAAATCAAGTAATGTTATCTGTCACTGTGACCCCCCCCCCC